TTGAGAAATTTTATTGAAAACTGAGACATCAGAATTTTTAATAAAGTCAGAATTATTTATCTAAAATATTAATTTGCGTGGCGTTATCAATTGATTACAAAGGTAAAATTAACTTTTTCACTATCCATGAATTTTCCTGACACAAGTAGGCATATACATATATCGATGTATATTCTGTTTCATAAATATATCAAAAACTGTTGCTTGTACTAAATTATGATATTATTGTAATATATATTTATATAAATTTCTAATTAGAGAAAATACACAAAATTGGGAATATGTATGGATAATTCTATAATATTTATACATCTTATACATCTATTTACTTTGGATTTTCCTAAACAAATTTAGCTGTTTGCTCTAACAATAAGTATAACCAGGAACTTCAACTGTGAGAAACTCTCGACTCCGGTGTCAAACTTCTAGAACATATTTGAATATTTCATGCGTATTCTCTACGGAAATGATAAATCGATATGTTAAAAAGTTTGGTGGAAGTTCAATCATTAGCGATATACTTAATGTCTCCAAGAATATCGCAGCAGTAACACCATGCATTTGTAGAGCGTTAATTTTAAAAATATTTTGTGTGTGTGTGTGTGTGTGTGTGTGCGCGCGCGCGCGTGTGTGTGTGTGTGTGTGTAAAAGAATATATATATACATATTCTTTCTTCTTTAAAAACACAAAAATTTTAATAAGTTAATTTAAAATGCTACGAGAATGCTATAAAAATAAGTCTATGAAACTGGCACATAATACATACTCAGGATTTACAGTGGAAAATCTTGTTGAATTTCCATAACTAGAAATGTCCCGAAAGACTGTTGGCGCTCTCTTGTATTTACATTTCCATTATCTCTAATTAGAGTAAATATATAAGCAGTACTAACTAATGCAAATTCTCATTTATTATCCAATTAAACGGTACATTATTTTAAAAATATTTTCAGAGGGTAATCTTCTAAAAACCATAATATATATACCAATATATAATATATATACCATAATATGAATTTAAAACATTGGCAGTTAACTAAAATATATAGATATAAGGTTTCTTGATCACAAGTTTGTTAATTTTAAAAAGTATATCATATACTTCTTTTTCATCTCACAATCAGAGAAATCCGAAAGCGATTGCCTCGGCGAGATGCTTAGCGCAGAGCTCAGCTTAGTTTCCACTAATTGCATCCAAAATCCAAGAGCGACCGTCTCGGTGTTTTTCGCAAGACGCTTTAGCGCACAGCTCGACTCAATTTCCGCCCTTTGCGTCCGAAATTTGTGTTAATAATCAACCATTATTCCGTGGTCAATCAGTATTTGTAACGCGATTTATGCTCGACCATTGTCAACGGGACCACGAATTTCGAATTTCCGTGCTCGACCATGGGATCGATTAAACCATGAATGCACGAATAGATTAGAAAAGACAAAATTAGTGCATAGCGAAAATAAATAAATTTATTAGTATGTTTTTATTTCTTATATTTTTCTAAAATTCTTTCTATAAAAATATCAAATTAATTTTTTCTGTTAGAGCAGAAACACTTATTATAAATTATTATAACAAGAGCTTGTTAAAAATTAATATACAAAATTTATGCACCGTAGTGCGAACATATATAGAGTGAGGCATCTAAAACAGGCCTGAATAACTCGCCTGCTTTTGACGATAGAAAAAAATGCATCAGACCAATCTTGTTTGGTTTCAAGGGGGACATAATCTGATGTCAATAGTTTTTTTACAGGTGGAGGTGTAGAGAAAATGCGACGGTCAACTTTATTTTTTTAAATGGAATGATATGTTTTTTACTTATCTTCTAATAAAGCATTTTAAAGCGCATACAATGACTTACGGTTAAAGGTCATTCAAGGTTGTTAAAGATCAACTGATGGAAAATAATTTTTTTTGAGGAACCAATCGAACACTTTTGTGTCTTCTCTGATTATTATTATATCGCTCTTGTAATCGCTATATGCATCGTAGAATGTAAATAAACATTTAATCACATTTTACGCTTCATGGAAGTTTGAATGTTACAAAGCCGCACTTTGGTCGGTAGCATACCACAAATTAATAATAGCGTACAACATACGCTGTATTCATATTATGAAGCGTACAATGTGATCGAATGTTTGTTTACATACTATCGTATAGCGATTACAAGAGCGATATACCAACAATTAGAGGAGACACAAAAGTGTTCGATTGGTTCCTTGAAGTAAATTATTTTCCATCACAGTTGACCTTTAACGACCTTGAATGACCTTTAACAATAAGTCATTGTATGCTTAAATTGCTCTATTAGAAGGTAAATAAAATAACATATTATTCCATTTAAATAAACGAAGTTAACCTTCGCATCTCCTCTACACCTCAATTTACAAAAAAAACTATTCACACCAGATTACGTTCCTCTTAAAACCAAGCAAGATTGATCTGATGCATTTTTTTCTATCGTAAGCATTCTATTTAAAAGCAAGTGAGTTATTCAAGTGGCCTGTTTTAGATGCCTCATCCTGTATATTCTAAGCTTAAATATCGATCAACTGATCTAGATAGCTTTCTTAAGCTGGCAGGACCAGATCAGCACAATCGAATGCAACCTAGTGGATTATTTAGTATTATTTTATATCATCAAAAATAATTTTGTATCGTAAATATCACTTAAGAAAAAATCGTGGCGCTGCTAACTTAATATATTGCAAATAATTTACGTGCATCACATTACATAATTATTTATGTGCAATATTGTAGAAATAAGAAATAAGAAATTAATGATTAATTACCTCTTTGCTCTGCCGGCGCTGAATGCTCTTCCTGAGCCTCCTCCTCCTCTCAGTCCTCTTGGCAGTCCTTCAAGGTATTCACACATGTTCGCAAAACGAATATGGAAATCGCCCGATATTTTGAACGGCACTTCCGACGCATATTTTGTCGTATTACACAAAATAAAAACTCGAGTATTATAACGCACGGAATATAACGCGTTCGACACTCTGCAGCGTTCAAAACAAGTATAACGAAGGGAAAAAGAAGAGGAATCGAAGAGCACGGAATAATATTTTGCGCGTTAGTCGTCAGGTTTATGCTACGCTTGAACTACTTTAATGCTTTTTTTATGTTCTTTCCACGCGAAAAAGGCAACTGCGATTTGCGACATATAAAACTTTCCATTCGGTATATTATAATGTAAATACGTTAAAAGTAAAAGTTAGAATAAAATACATGTAAGAGTTAAAATAAAGAATAAAATGCCGCAGAATAAAATATCGTTAAACGCGACAGCTAATTAACAACGCAAATTGATAGATATAGGAAACGATATTAATATTTACTGCACTTGCAATTACGAAGCAGATTTATATTAAGAGAATAGCAAACAGTGGTATTGGACGAGATAATGCGCCGATATGAAAGAATCTACTTCGTACGAGTGCCGCCGTGCGAATAATAACAAACCAATAGCGGAAACATAGTCGTGCCAATTTGGGAGGGGAAATGCGAGGAATGTGCGCGCCGATACAGGCGGAACAGATCCTTCTGTATCGGCGTATTATCTCATCCAGTACCACTATGCTTGCTATTCTCCTAACATAAATCTGCTTCGTAATTACAAGTGCAATGAATATTAATATCGTTTCCTATATTTCTATCCATTAAGAGTTTGCGTTGTTAATTAACTGCCGCGTTTAACGATATTTTATTCTGCGGCTCTGTATTCTTTATTTTAACTCTTACATGTATTCACATTTGATTTTAACTTTCACTTTTAATGTATAATATTTACATTATAATATGCCAAATGGAAAGTTTTATATGTCATAAATTGCCTTTTTCGCGTGAAAAGAGCATAAAAAACTCATTCAAGTAGTTCAAGCGTAGCATAGCTCCGACGATTGACGCGCAAAAAATTATTCCGTACTCTTCGATCCCTCCTCTTTTTTCTTTCGTTACTTGTTTTGAACGCTGCAGAGTATCGAACGCGTTATATTCCGTGCGTTATAATACTCGTGTTTTTATTTTGTATAACATGACAAAATACGCGTCGGAAGTACCGTTTAAAATATCGGGCAATTTTTATATTCGCTTTGCAAACACGTGTGAATGCCTTGAAGGATTGCCAAGAGGACTGTGAGAAGAAGGAAGCTCAGGAAGAGCATCGGGGATCGACAGAGCCCCAAAGAGGCAATTAATCATCCATTTTTCATTTATTATTTGTAAAATATTGCACATAAATAATTATGTATAATGTGACGCACGTAAAATATTTGAAATATTTAGTAAATATTTAGTAAATTGTTCGCAATATTTCATATTTATAATTATTAGAGTTTTTTACATATTATACTTATTATGATTTTAATCAATTCAGTTATTGATAATTTTTTCATTAGCTATTTATTTGAAAAAAGACAAATGAAAAATTCAATGTGCGTAATTGTTTCTCAGATACTAATTGTATTAAACACTGCTATAATTTACAATATTTTTGTATATTTTACAGATCAACATTGCTGATCTACAGAATTTCAACTTCGATGCTGCGCATCGTGGCGGTGAGTTGATCTAATTTTATATAATATTTCAATATCAAAATATTAATATATCGCTCTTGAATTACTTTCAAACCCCTCAGGCCCCTTCGAGGGTCACGAAAGTTTATTCGTAGCCGTCGATCTTTAATAGTACCTCGTTTGTGATTATAGCGATTGGTGGTGACATCTTGTAATATGTTTAATATTATTTAAAATTTTTTTAAATATTTTTTTTAACATTTACAATATTATTAATAATTATGCTGTATTACATTTTTAAATTATGAATAAAACAATTTAGCTTTAAAAATTACATGCATTTAAATTTATATGCCAACTGTAGATAACTGTTTATCTCAGGATATATTCTACTCTTTTATTAGTATATGATAATAGTTTTACACGTTTAAAAAATATTGATAGAAAATTGATTGCAAGTAGCTAAAAATATACGTACAGTGTAGATGACCGTCATCATTATTTGATTCTCCTTGATTATCTTTATCGCTCACCATTCTTATTCTACGCCAAACTATAATAATAGATTAAACATTTAATTTATAAAAAAGATATTTGTTACATTTAGACTTTATGTTTTAATTTGTATTTCTTTACCGTTTCTAAAGAAATTTCTTATTCCAGGCTTCTTTTTATTTCTGTTGTTTTGACAATCTTCTATATTTGCTGAATCAACGTCTGCTTCCATGGTAAATGAGAAACAATGTACCTTTGAAACAATATACAATCTTGAATTATTAAAATTGTCGCAATAATCTTATTATGAATAAACATAAATTTGAAACAGACATGTAAATAATTATGCACAGATATAATATTATAACATAAAATTATTTATAACATAAAGTCTATGAAAATTTTAAAAACAATAAAAAATAATAAAGTAAAATATTAATAAAAAATTGCAGAAATAACGAAAACAATTATATTCTTTAATTAGTGTAAATTATCTCATTTTTTTATATATCAACTTTCTGTATGCATTTTATTGAGAGTATCACAATCGGAGAATATTTTTAACACAAGGTTTACATTGCAATATATTGTATCATAAATTATTTCTAAGATATTATTATTAATCTCATTTAAACCTCACTTTTTTTATAAACATATTATTTTAACAAAAAAATGTTTTTTTATCAGAAATTATTTAACATTATCATAGAAAGTTCTGTAAGTGTATTTAAAACTGGCGTATAAACACACACTCAACACTAGTATACGGGGAATCGTTTTGTATACAAAAATTATGATGCAGCAATCAAATCTCTATTTTTTTGGTATCGATTTCACGTCTACATACCGAAAGTCACGGAATCGCGAAGATCACTAGATCGGACAGCAGCGCGAATTGTCGTCGTCTCTCGCGAAAAACACGAAACGCACTCGCATCAGTCAAACTACAATAACTTCTCGTGGTGTCGTAAATAGTTATAAGATAAAGGCTACTCGCGCGAGTCACGTCGAAACGGCTGGCCAAGTAGCCGACAGAAGAGTGATATTTGGCAAGAAGCCAGATTCTCCTACGCAAATCTGCATTTTTTCTCTTAAGAAGAGGTCAGAACACTGATTTCTTCTCCGTTTCTCTTCTGACGTCATTTCAGTAATGCCGAATCGAATCATATAAATGATAATTATCTATCATTTATCACAAGACTCAAGTGGAGCGTGTGATCTAATATTCAAAATACATGATGCCGAATACAAGGTTGCCATCTAAATACATAATCATTGCCATCGCACGTTGCCAAATAAATTCTCACCTTGGTAAATCTTATTACTATTTGCATTATTTTGAAATCAAATTTTACTGTGCGGCTATAAACTACTACTCAGTGTCACTAGTGCATCATAATCTCCCATAAATTAAGCTCTTAATTTTAATAAGTGAAAGAAAATAATTTTGCACGTGTAAATACATTACGTATTCATGTTAATGCGATGTTAATGCGATGTTAATGAAGCAATAAGCATCATGAATAATGCAAAATATATATTTTATTAATTTTAGTCCTAATACACGGAGAAAATTTTATATAAAAAATTACTATGTACGGCAGTAGCCGTGGACCATAAAAAAATTATAAGAATATAAAAATTGTTACTATGTTTTTTACTATTTTTTTATATAAAATTTTCTCCGTATAGAACTTGAATTATACACTAGCAACAATTACTATTCAGAAATTATCGCCTTTTGTAAAAGAATAGAGTAAAATATGGAACGGCACGCTTCTTAACAAAGTCTTTACAATAAATCTGGAAATTGGCTGCAACCATTAAATTTTCGAAGTGACAAAAGCCCAAGTCTAACGTTTTCAGGATTAAACGCTTTCTCCATAAATTGATGATTGCATCGACGATAGTTAAACTATCTGTTAAACTATAGGGATCCAGAATCGCACAATGAAGAACGTTTCTTGACAAGGCTACTTTTAAAATAAGGCTACTTTAACAAAAAAAGAGTAAAACAAAGTAACAAATCATTTTGACAGATTTTTAAAGTAAAGAAAGAACCTTTAGTGTCTGTTACGCGTGTCCAAAACGTCACGCGCTTTTGTCAATTGTTAAAACGTCATGTAAAACGACGGGTGTTCTAATGTTTTATCTTTTTAAAAAATTGTCAAAAAAGTCGTAGCTAGCTCTATTCTAAAAGTAGCCTTGTCACGAAACACTTAATTGTGCGACTCTGGATCCCTACTGTTTTACAGAGGGGCAATAGTTTCCAGATAGTAACTGTCGGTGCAATCATCAACCTACAAGGAAAGCGTTTAATATCCTTAAATGAACGCACTGGCAGTAAGCACTGTGCAACGACGCAAGAAAATCTACTATGTGTGCACAGTTAGCCCGGTTGACCGGCCTACCGGCGGTCACACCGGCTCGTACTAAGAAATTTATATGGTCTCAGCCGCGACAATTGCTCAGCCCCGCGTCCGTTCGTTCATCGGATGCTACACTAATTGGACCACCAACCAGCGCAAATACACTGCGATCGCGCCTGTTGAACGTATAATGTCAATTAACTCTATCACATCTTCTGATTATGTTTGAAAAAAGCATCGCTACTATGATTATATCTTTTACTTATGTTTTTATATTTTTCTTCCGGGTAAAACTACATCGAGCCTTTATAATTTTTCGTCGTATTTTATTTCCTTTCTCTTTTTTTTTCTTAGAAATAATAGTTGAATTTTTTGAGGAAAATTTATTTTGCCCAATTGCTTAGATATAGCTTAGAGATAGTCAACGTAAATCGGCTTTTCGAGAAGCCACGAAAGACACAGAGAGACAGAATTGCTGTTTTAAACATCTATAGCATTGATTTTTTTTTATTGATGCTCTTGATTATTAGCTTATTGTCACGCAAAGAAATAATACAGAAAATACGGACAGAAAATGAGTTTTTACACCTATCATCAACAAGGCGCTATAATACGCCAAGTTATCCTCGACGAAACGAATGGTCCATGGAGACACGCGTTTCACGGTCTCGTGTCTGGATCGCAATTTCGCGCCATTCAAGCACGCTTGCTTTTCTGTTGAGATATCGCGTGCATCTGTAGTCTGCGAAAATTGTCTCGGTTTCTACCACAGCGCGTGTGAAATATATACACGTGTTTAATAATGAAGGTGGACTCGGCCTCGGTTACCGAGCCAATTGTGAAAATCAGATCGCGACGCAAATTATTGGTCAACAATAGTGCAATCTATATGCATTATTTGCACAATTATGTTTTAAAATTTTTATTTGTAGAAAATACATTATATTTGCATCAATTATAAAAAGATAGTAACTTTTATCTTGTTCTTTTTTTCTAATCTAAATAAGAATGTCAAATTACATGAAGATATATCAGCTGACACAAAAGACACACATTTTTTTCTATCGCAAATACTCGAGCTTATGTCAATATCGTTATTTCAAGAGAAAAATTGAGCATTATACAACTATTGGTATTTCTTTTCTTGTTCAAACGAGATAATAGCCGACTGTCTCCGCAGGTATGCGACTTAATGACCGTGGCGACGACAATCGCATCGATTGCTACGAACTGCATGAACAGCTGTGAAAAAAATTATTCGAATTGTAAATCGTGAATACTGCAATAATATCAGCCTTTCACTCAAGACTGGTAGACAGCACAAAATAAAACAAACAGCCGCGAGTCGTATATTTCAAAATCTGCTTATACGCTGCAACATGTGAATCTCAGGTTTTTATATTGTATATATTGTATCGTATTTTTTGAAATAATGTATCGTTGCCAAAATTCATTCTTTATAAAGTCAGAATATGTCTAAAAAATCATTTATTTAATATATTTTAATAATGTGCTTTCAATTCATAATTCTAACATTATCGCAATTAAGAAATTCATAAAATATGGTCGGTACATAACTCGATCATATGAACGAATTTTAACATAAATAAAATTTTACTTTAAAGAAGATAGAAATAAAAGGGGGTTTGCAAAAAGTACAGAGACGCGAGTTCCGGAAGAAGGCTGCGCGCAACAACTGCACTTTAAGCGCAAGGAGGGGGAAAAAAAAGAGCGTTCGAGGGGAAAAAGAACTGAAGTCGCGCGGTAAATTAATGCCGGTAGCTCTTTAGCTAAATTAATTACACCAATGGTAATTACACTTAAGGCACGTCAGTGCAACCCGCGCTAAACGGTGCCACCGTTTCTTATATATGGAGTCTCTCCCCGCGCATCTCTCTCTCTATTCAACCTGCTCTTCTTCCTTCTCTTCAGCGTACCTCATACTTCACTCTTGCGCGACGACAGCACGGTGTGTCATGCTGTTCGACGATAGCCACAGCCTCCATTGACTATCCGTAAGAGTGTGAAACACGTGTTCGCACACAGACAAATATAATTAACCGCTCATTTTTGTAGGCGCAGAAGCAGCCGACACGCATACCACGCCCGTATACGTCGCTAGAACTGTCGCGTTGGAGAGCTATCGAATGTCTGATACTATTTAATTTAACAACAGATGTTAGAATTGCAATCATGTGATAACAATTTAATCCGAAAAATATATCTACGAAATTTACATTATTCAAGACACAAAATTAATATTGGAAGTCTGTGGTATAAAATTATTAATGTATTTTTTGCATTGATAATTCTTCATCAATTTATCAATTTAGTAGACGTTATCACGCCGTGACGATTCGTTTCTTTCGTGACAATTCATCCTCCAATCTCAGAATCAATGGATCGCGTTTCAATCTGCGATACCGCTGTCAAGCGACAACGCCGTTTAGATAAAAAAAAAATGATTGAGTAGAACAGATTAATTCATCGCTGGCGCAATGATAAATTTGTGCTACAAGGTACATTAGATTACCGCGGCTATATAATGTTCAGCTCGACGAATGGAATAAAAATACGAGCACGGTTTTTCGTGCCCTCGAGAGCCCTCGGAAAGATGGCCCGATAAGGGCCACACGAGAGGAAACGAGCGTGGGCATGGAAGCGACAAGGAGAGGAACAAGAAGGAAAACGCGACGTTGTGGTATACAATGTGGCAGAGGAAAGGGAGGGGGGATGAGGAGGAGGGCCGTTTGTCGGACATACCTCGGGGCCACCCTGGCGTCTAATTGCGTGTAATGCACTCCCGGCCTGCCAGGCCTCGAGTTACCGCCAGAGGAGAGCCGGGCGAAAAACTCGGGTCGCGCGGTAGCAAAACCCCGACGATCGTGGGGACGCGGTGCTATGTCCGGAACGCTCGGACCCACACGACGTGGAGGACGAGGACGGCGAGGACGGCGACGCCTTACAGGACGTCGATCCCCCGTCGTGCCATCGCGACCGGCGACGAGGTCGCATCCTTTCTGTTCGGTTCGCGTCGCAGCTCCCTGGAATGTCACCGGCACCTCCTGACCGCTAAAATGAAGACGTGTTCTTCACCGTGTTGAATCGCCTGGACCGAAACCCTTTCCGCCACAAACTCTCCGGAGTCTCTCAAAAAACGCGGCCGCCGCAAGAAAATGTTCGAAGATGTATTGACGCGGAGAAAGTCATCTCTATTAAATGCGGGATCGCAGAAAATTAACTGATTGTTTTTCATATTTCTATTCATTCGGCAGAGATTGAAATCATATTGCTCTTGACGCTAAATGTAGTAATTTCATTTTTATGACACTAAATCTAAGCTTTAGATACATAATGTAGTAATTTCCTTGAGTATTTTTATCGATCGAAACTCAAAAGCCATATTTTACCGCTAAAAGTGATAAGAATAAGAAGGAGGATTCTACTTTGATCCTATTACTTACACTCACTGTTGAATATGTATTGAGCGCTAAATGTTTAACTTTTACAATTTCTTCTAAGTGGATTATTGGGTGATTGAAAAATTTTTAAATGCGAAAAGTTGTTGAAAGAAAATATTA